GTCATTGTGGCTGCAACTATTTCACATGGGGTTGAATAGCTTCCTGTTAATGTGATCCCAACATGTGTGGCTAGATCTTGGAGATTGTGTCACTCACTAAGACGACCTGACACAAAGGATGTTTGTGATGTAAAACTTTGACAATATACACTGAGTGTACAAAACATTAGGAACAGCTTCCTAATACTGAGTTGCACACCCTTTTGCCATCAGAACAGCCTTTCGTCTGGGCATGGACTGGGTCGAAAGCGTTCCACAGGGGTGCTGGGCCATGTTGACTACAAAGCTTCCCACAGTTGTGTCAAGTTGGCTGGATGTCCTTTGGGTGGTGGACCATTCTTGATACACACAGGAAACTGTTGAGCGTGAAAAACTCAGCAGCGTTGCAGTTCTTGACACACTTAAACCGGTGCGCCTGGCACCTACTACCATACCCCGTTCAAAGGCACTTAAACCTTTTGTCTTGCCCATTCACCCTCTAAATGGCACACATACACAATCCATGTCTCAAGGCTTAAAAATCCTTCTCTAACCTGTCTCCTCCCCTTCATTTACACTGAATGAATTTAACAAGTGACATCAATAAGGGGTCATAGTTTTCACCTGGAATCACTTGGTCAGTCTATGTCATGGAAAGAGCAGTTGTTCCTAATGTCTTGTACGCTCAGTGTATATTGCTGTTGAGTTAGGGTTGAACGGGATGGTTAAATTTGTCTGTGGGACCAAAGTCTTAACTGGATCCTGATACCTAAAGCAGAGTCTATGATGGATTGTATATTTTGTGAATTACATAAGGAAAATGCTTACACTGAGAGATTCCTGTCGATATGAGTAAGAGGGAAACTTCTATAGACGTCAGTGTGACTGCAACTATTTCACATCTTGGAGATGGTGTCACTCACTAAGAAGAGCCTACGCGTTTAGGTGTGTTTGTTACGTAAGGTTAAGTGTTCGTGTGTAGCTTGGCGCAGTGTGGCCTGTGTAAGCAAGCTGTCCTGTTTGCATGCCCAGGTTCTGATGTTCCTCATTCCTTAAGGGGATTATACTGAATGGACCACCAGTCTCAGCCAGTGTTACCATCAATCAAATAAAATCAAATACAATTGTATTTGCCACATGCGCCGAATACAACAGTGAAATGCTTACTTACAAGCTCTTAACCAACAAGGCAGTTTTAAGAAAATAAAAAAAGTGTTAAGTAAAAAATATATAAGTAAAAAATAAAAATAGCAAATAATTAAAGAGCAACAGTAAAATAAAATAACAGTAGGGAGGCTATATACAGGGGGTACCGGTACAGAGTCAATGTGCAGGGGCACCGGTTAGTTGAGGTAATTTAGGTAATATGTACATGTGGGTAGAGTTAAAGTGACTATCCATAGATAATAAACAGAGTATCAGCAGCGTAAAAGAGGGGGTGGGGTGGGGGGGCAATGCAAATAGTCCGGGTAGCCATGATTAGCTGTTCAAGAGTCTTATGGCTTGGGGGTAAAAGCTGTTAAGAAGCCTTTTGGACCTAGACTTGGCGATCCGGTACTGCTTGCCGTGCGGTATCAGAGAGAACAGTCTATGACTAGGGTGGCTTTGACAATTTTTAGGGCCTTCCTCTGACACTGCCTGGTATAGAGGTCCTGGATGGCAGGAAGCTTGGTCCCAGTGATATACTGGGCCGTACGCACTACCCTCTGTAGTGCCTTGCAGTCGGAGGCCGAGTAGTTGCCATACCAGGCGCTGATGCAACCAGTCAGGATGCTCTCGATGGTGCAGCTGTATAACTTTTTGAGGATCTGAGGACCCATGCCAAATCTTTTCAGTCTCCTGAGGGGGAATAGGCTTTGTCGTGCCCTCTTCACAACTGTCTTGGTGTGTTTGGACCATGATAGTTTGTTGGTGATGTGGTGTCATGAGAATTTCTATCTCTAATTCAACCTAAGCTTGAATCATTACCAGGGGTTGTAAGGCTCTGGTTATAATCATAAATGATTCAAGGTCCACAACCAGCAAGAATTATCTGTATTTTTAATCATGGAGAGCTCTGCCGCCAAAAAACATACAGCTTTATACCCCTTGACGCACAAAGGCACTTTGCTCCGCCCACCTTTAGGAGGCTTTTTCTAACCAGTTTTCTCAGTCCCCTTCACCCTGGAATGTTTAGTCCCGCCCCCCTCTGTTAGTGGGTTGACACTACATTATAACTCTAACACCGTTCACACATTTATACTGTATTTGGGGTGAAATCCTTTAGTCATTATTCTTAAAATACAAATGAATCTATCATGTGGACACCAAGGAACTTGAAGCGCTCAACCTGTTCCACTACAGCCCCGTCGATGAGAATGGGGGCATGCTTAGTCCTCTTTTTTTTCCTGCAGTCCACCATCATCTCCTTTGTCTTGATCACGTTGAGGGAGAGGTTGTTATCCTGGCACCACACGGCCAGGTCTCTGACCTCCTCCCTATAGGCTGTCTCATCATTGTCGGTGATCAGGCCTACCACTATTGTGTCGTCGGCAAACTTAATGATGGTGTTGGAGTCATGCCTGGCCATGCAGTCATGGGTGAACAGGGAGTACAGGAGGGGACCCCTGAGGGCCCCCCGTGTTGAGGATCAGCGTGGCAGATGTGTTGTTACCTACCCTTACCACCTGGGGGTGGCCCGTCAGGAAGTCCAGGATCCAGTTGCAGAAGGAGGTGTTTATTCCCAGGGTCCTTAGCTTAGTGACGAGCTTTGAGGGCACTATGGTGTTGAACGCTGAGCTGTAGTCAATGAATAGCATTCTCACGTAGGTGTTCCTCTTGTTCAGGTGGGAAAGGGCAGTGTGGAGTGCAATAGAGATTGCATAATTTGTGGATCTGTTGGGGTGGTATGCAAATTGGAGTGGGTCTAGGGTTTCTGGGATAATGGTTTTGATGTGAGCCATGACCAGCCTTTCAAAGCACTTCATGGCTACAGACGTGAGTGCTATGGGTCGGTAGTCATTTAGGCAGGTTATCTTAGTGTTCTTGGGCACAGGGACTATGGTGGTCTGCTTGAAACATGTTGGTATTACAGACTCAGTCAGGGACATGTTGAAAATGTCAGTGAAGACACTTGCCAGTCGGTCAGCGCATGCTCGGAGTACACGTCCTGGTAATCCGTCTGGCCCTGCGGCCTTGTGAATGTTTACCTGCTTAAAAGTCTTACTCACATCGGCTATGGAGAGCGTGATCACATAGTCATCCGGAACAGCTGATGCTCTCATGCATGCTTCAGTGTTGCTTGCCTCGAAGCGAGCATAGAAGTGATTTAGCTCATCTGGTAGGCTTGTGTCACTGGGCAGCTCGCGGCTGTGCTTCCCTTTGTAGTCTGTAATAGTTTTCAAGCCCGCCACATCCGACGAGCGTCGGAGCCGGTGTAGGACAATTCAATCTTAGTCCTGTATTGACTCTTTGCCTGTTTGATGGTTTGTCGGAGGGCATAGCGGGATTTCTTATAAGCGTCCGGGTTAGAGTCCCGCTCCTTGAAAGCGGCAGCTCTACCCTTTAGCTCAGTGCGGATGTTGCCTGAAATCCATGGCTTCTGGTTGGGGTATGTACGTACGGTCACTGTGGGGATGACGTCGTCAATGCACTTATTGATGAAGCCAGTGACTGATGTGGTGTACTTCTCAATTGTATCGGAAGAATCCCGGAACATATTCCAGTCTGTGCTAGCAAAACAGACAGATTATGGCCTTATACAGCTCATTGAGTACAATCTTATTGCCAGCATCGGTTTGTGGTGGTAAATAGACAGCTACGAAAAATATAGATGAAAACTCTCTTGGTAAATAGTGTGGTCTACAGCTTATCATGAGATACTCTACCTCAGGCGAGCAAAACCTTGAGACTTCCTTAGTATTAGATTCTATGCACCAGCTGTTGTTTACAAATATACACAGTCCGCCACCCCTTGTCTTACCGGAGTCAGCCGTTCTATCCTGCCGATGTAGCGTATATCCCGCCAGCTGTATGTTATCCATGTCGTCGTTCAGCCACGACTCGGTGAAACACAAGGTATTACAGTTTTTAATGTCCCGTTGGTAGGATAACCTTGATCTTAGGTCGTCCAATTTATTTTCAAATGATTTAACATTGGCTAATAGGATTGATGGAAGAGGCAGTTTACTCGCTCGCCGTCGGATCCTTACAAGGCACCCCGACCTACATCCACGATATCTTCGTCTCTTTCTCATGACGGGGATTTGGGCCTCGTCGGGTGTCTGTAGAATATCCGTCGCGTCCGACTCGTTGAAGAAAAAATCTTTGTCCAATACGAGGTGAGTAATCGCTGTCCTGATATCCAGATATCCAGAAGGTATTTTTGGTCATAAGAGACGGTGGCAGAAACATTATGTACAGAATAAATTACAAATAACTCTTTGTTGTGAACAGTTACAGACTTCAGACTTGTTGTTCCAACGTCAGACATAGCTAGAACATTTGTCATCAACTGTTCCCTCCAGAACACACTACTCTCCTCTTACTCCCACTACAGAAATATCATTCTCCGAAATAAAAGTCATAACAGGCCTCACATTAGAGCCACCCATGAAAAAGAAATGTTCACCGCATTTCAAGCATAAACAACTAAAACAAGGACAACTGTAGCATATTACTGTAACTGAACATTACTGATGTTCCTCAGTCCCTAAGGGGATTACACTGAATGGACCACCTGTGTCAGCCAGTCACTTGTTAACACAGAAGAGTCCAAGTCAGGTCTCAATTTCTTGTGCACATTTATTAAGTCTTAGTCCCAATTCACCTGTCCTCTCATCCATGTCAGAGATTTCTTGTATAAAATCAGATTAGGCTACATATACCCTCTCTCAAAGATAGTATAAAACAACAACAATTACTTGTAGGATAATGCTTTAATGCATGTGTTCTGAAGCGGCTAGAGCTTTTCTTTGTAAAACTGAAGAGACATTTGTTTGTTTGTTTTTCCTCTGTGCCCACAGGGGTTGACGCTCCAGCTGATGATGGCAGTGGGAACAGCTGTGATTGGCTCCCTGCAGTTTGGCTACAACACAGGGGTCATCAATGCTCCCCAAAAGGTGAGTGAGAAATGGCCAATTTCAAATGGCACCCTAATCCCTATATGGTGCATATTTTTGGACAGAGCCATAGAGGCCCTGTATAGAGAATAAAGTTACATTTTGGACGCAGATTCTATGTTTGTGACCCGTAGAAGCCTGTCCAAATCCATTGAATGTAAAGACAGTATTCTTCCTATTCTTTCTTGACACCCCTGACTAGCTCAGCAGGTTATGTTCCTCAGAGATGCATACAGTGGGGAAAAAAAGTATTTAGTCAGCCACCAATTGTGCAAGTTCTCCCACTTAAAAAGATGAGAGAGGCCTGTAATTTTCATCATAGGTACACGTCAACTATGACAGACAAAATGAGAATTTTTTTCTCCAGAAAATCACATTGTAGGATTTTTTATGAATTTATTTGCAAATTATGGTGGAAAATAAGTATTTGGTCACCTACAAACAAGCAAGATTTCTGGCTCTCACAGACCTGTAACGTCTTCTTTAAGAGGCTCCTCTGTCCTCCACTCGTTACCTGTATTAATGGCACCTGTTTGAACTTGTTATCAGTATAAAAGACACCTGTCCACAACCTCAAACAGTCACACTCCAAACTCCACTATGGCCAAGACCAAAGAGCTGTCAAAGGACACCAGAAACAAAATTGTAGACCTGCACCAGTCTGGGAAGACTGAATCTGCAATAGGTAAGCAGCTTGGTTTGAAGAAATCAACTGTGGGAGCAATTATTAGGAAATGGAAGACATACAAGACCACTGATAATCTCCCTCGATCTGGGGCTCCACGCAAGATCTCACCCCGTGGGGTCAAAATGATCACAAGAACGGTGAGCAAAAATCCCAGAACCACACGGGGGGACCTAGTGAATGACCTGCAGAGAGCTGGGACCAAAGTAACAAAGCCTACCATCAGTAACACACTACGCCGCCAGGGACTCAAATCCTGCAGTGCCAGACGTGTCCCCCTGCTTAAGCCAGTACATGTCCAGGCCCGTCTGAAGTTTGCTAGAGTGCATTTGGATGATCCAGAAGAGGATTGGGAGAATGTCAGATGAAACCAAAATAGAACTTTTTGGTAAAAACTCAACTCGTCGTGTTTGGAGGACAAAGAATGCTGAGTTGCATCCAAAGACCACCATACCTACTGTGAAGCATGGGGGTGGAAACATCATGCTTTGGGGCTGTTTTTCTGCAAAGGGACCAGGACGACTGATCCGTGTAAAGGAAAGAATGAATGGGGCCATGTATCGTGAGATTTTGAGTGAAAACCTCCTTCCATCAGCAAGGGCATTGAAGATGAAACATGGCTGGGTCTTTCAGCATGACAATGATCCCAAACACACCGCCCGGGCAACGAAGGAGTGGCTTCGTAAGAAGCATTTCAAGGTCCTGGAGTGGCCTAGCCAGTCTCCAGATCTCAACCCCATAGAAAATCTTTGGAGGGAGTTGAAAGTCTGTGTTGCCCAGCGACAGCCCCAAAACATCACTGCTCTAGAGGAGATCTGCGTGGAGGAATGGGCCAAAATACCAGCAACAGTGTGTGAAAACCTTGTGAAGACTTACAGAAAACGTTTGACCTGTGTCATTGCCAACAAAGGGTATATAACAAAGTATTGAGAAACTTTTGTTGTTGACCAAATACTTATTTTCCACCATAATTTGCAAATAAATTCATAAAAAATCCTACTGGAAATCCTTCTGGATTTTTTTTTCTAATTTTGTCTGTCATAGTTGACGTGTACCTATGATGAAAATTACAGGCCTCTCTCATCTTTTTAAGTGGGAGAACTTGCACAATTGGTGGCTGACTAAATACTTTTTTCCCCCACTGTAGGTCTCCTACCCAAAGGTGCCGTAATGCATGTCCGACGGATTGCATCTCATCTCTCCAGCAGGAGCCCTGCCAGGTCAATCAAAGGTGATACATCACATTCATGTAGGATCTTTGACTGACATGGTGAGACTCGCTGGTGAGAGGAGATTAGATGCAGCCCTTCTACTGAATTTAACACTTGGCTAAGTGACAGTCTGGCAGATATACTAGAGAGACTCTGGTACTGTATGTACTTTACTCCAGCAGCTTCTTAAGAATGTTACTTGAGGTTTCACTGACGCTGTCACGTGAATTTCTATCTCTAATTCAACCTAAGCTTGAATCATTACCAGAGGTTGTAAGGCTCTGGTTTTAATCATCAATGATTCAAGGTCCACAACTCACAAGTCTTTCTGTATTTTTATTCATGGAGAGAGCTCTCCTGCCAAAGACACAACATACTGTTTTTATACTTCTTGACAAACAAAGGCACTATGCTCCTCCCACCTTTAGGTGGCTTTCTTAAACAGTTCCCGCCTTCCCCCTTGAATGGTTAGTACCGCCCCCTCTGTTAGTGGGTTGACACTACATGATAATTCTAACATTTATACTGTGTTTGGGGTGAAATTCTTTAGTCATTATTCTTAAAATCCAAATTAATCTAACAGACGCCTGCTCTGTTAATAAGAATGTGTATTACTGTGTGAGTGCGTGTACTTACATATGTGTGTGTGTGTGTGATTTGGGAGGTGTAAGGCGATCGGTGAATCCTGGAGCCTCTTCAGGACACCTGAGCACATGAGCACTGTAAATAGTTGCATAGATTAAAGATTACAGGAGGTGTGTAGGCCAGTGAGGTAACTACTAGGATCCAAGCCTCTTTGATACTTTGTTATGCAAGGCGTGTAATTGCCTCCACGGTCTGGGGTGGAAAGTCACCATCTATTATAGCGAATTCCAGTAACTTTCCCAAAATTCCCAGGTTTTCCTGAAATCCCGGTTGGAGGATTCAAATATTTTCATCTTATTCCAGGAAGCCTCCAACTGGGAAGTTTGGGAAAGGTTTACCATTGTGATCAGTTCACTAGAGGTGTGTCCATTACACGTGGCAGAGATAACGAGGATTATTGTCAAATTCACAGGATTAAAGGAAAGGGGAGGCTAGAGGAGTGTAACTGAGTTGTCCCATGAACGAGTGCCTTTTGCGTCCCTCTGATATTTGAAGTAGAAATTGTGCACCAATATTGAATTTTAAAAGCCTGTTATATTAAATGAAGTGCCCTTTAATATAGACCACATGGAAAATTCTATAAATCTCATTCAGCATTTTGACATGTCCTTCCGTGCACCCTTTGTGACTTCTAGGAAGGTTTTAACCCACTTAACGAAAAATGTCACCATGTCATTGGATTTAGTTTCAAAGTTGGGTGAAAAGAATACGAAATTCCCTTACGTTGATGACTTTTTTCAAATCCAATCAGTTTTCCACGTTGATTCAACGTCATCACATTTACTTTTTTTGTTGAAATGATGTGGAAACATCTTTGATTCAACCAGTTTCTGCCCAGTGAGCTGAGTATTACATAGTCAGAGACCCAGGGCATATTCTTTGGAGGGCAATAAACTCTGCCTGACTCATGCGTATATCAACGGCACCCTGACTTTTGTTTGTCAACATGAAGTCCTCTAATGAACTATCTTGCTTCCTGAATCTCCGGTGCTCTGATGTTTCGTCACTGATTATTTGGACAAATCACGATTTCACAGATGTTCACATCGTTCCAATTGCGGAAGGGGAGGGGACATTTGGCCCATACTTGCCCGTAACTTGCAAAGAGAGGGGAGTGGAGCTACCGCCCTACTTCCGCTCCTCGTTCTGGTATCTTTTATAACACGTCTGCCCCTAGAATTTAAACAAGCATCCGACTCAATTATGCAAGATTTTAGTTCTGTGCAATATCTATAATTTCACTGTATAGTTGGTAATTTACTATGAAGTGAATTGTGACTGTATGTATGTATGATAATTATATTATTTAACGTCTCCATCAACCTTCAATGATGACTATAGTTAATATATGTTCTTCATGTGTTATGTTGTATTGTACCGTAGATCATCGAAGGCTTCTTGAATGACACGTGGAACAGCAGGTACTCTGAGCCCATCCCTACGACATCCCTGACCACCCTGTGGTCCATCTCCGTAGCCATCTTCTCTGTCGGGGGCATTTTCGGCTCCTTCTCCGTGGGCCTGTTCGTCAACCGCCTGGGCAGGTAAAACTGCAGTGTTAATGTATTTTAGGCTGGTATTCACATTAAAAGGGTGTGGTAATCAGTGGCGAGTTTAGCATGTCAATCTTGGTGGGGCAAACTCAAATATTATGTTTTTGATGCAAGCCAGCAAAGACACTACACAACACTAAACAATACATTAATTGCGCTATAATGGTGACAAATGGTGCCCACAAACTGTTAGGGCCTACATAATGCTGTCACAACAGCAGAGTCCCAACAGCAGTCCCAACATCTTACCACTGCTACAACTGGCTATCAGCGGAGCCTTGTCTGGCAGCGAAACAGTTAATTCAGCCTCATTTACTGCCTTTAAAAAAAACATAGCTGGAATCACTGGCTTGCTTAAACAAATGTGGTTTCTACTGACAATTGAGATGTACAAACTATGGCATAAGGGGAAGACGAGCGGATAAGAGGCAATCCATAATTTCGATTAAGACATTAATGAGCGAGCTAGGACGGACGTAGTCAATATAACTATTTGTTCAGCCCTTTTGAAATGTACAGCGACAGAATCCAGAACATGGGCCCTTCTTACAGTATTATCCCTGTACCAGTCAGAACCGTAGGATAAATAAAGGGGGCATATTAGCAGACAATGAAAGCTCTTACAATATTAGATGATGACATTTCTCTAAAAAGTGCCTTGCAAAAGTATTCATCCCCCTAGGCGTTTTTTCCTATTTTATTGCATTACAACCTGTAATTTAAATTTAATTTTATTTGGATTTTATGTAATGGACATGCACAAAATAGTTCAAATTGGTGAAGTGAAATGAAAAAAATTACTTGTTTAAAAGAATTATACAAAATAAATAACGGAAAAGTGGTGCGTGCATATGTATTCACCCCCTTTGCTCTGAAGCCCCTAAATAAGATCTGGTGCAACCAATTACCTTCAGAAGTCACATAATTAGTTAAATAAAGTCCACCTGTGTGCAATCCAAGTGTCACATGATCTGTCACATGATCTCAGTATATATACACCTGTTCTGAAAGGCCCCAGAGTCTGCAACACCACTAAGCAAGCGGCACCACGAAGACCAAGGAGCTCTCCAAACAGGTCAGGGACAAAGTTGTGGAGAAGTACAGATCAGGGTTGGGTTATATATATATCAGAAACTTTGAACATCCCACGGAGCACCATTAAATCCATTATAAATTTTTTAAAATAATATGGCACCACAACAAACCTGCCAAGAGAGGGCCGCCCACCAAAACTCACGGACCAGGCAAGGAGGGCATTAATCAGAGAGGCAACAAAGAGACCAAAGATAGAGCTAGTTCCCAGTTGTCTTGAACCCACTGAAGTCTGAGATTTCCCAGTTCCAAGTTTCCAGTTGTTTTGAATGCAGCAGAAGTGATGCTGTATTGACAGCATGGCCAATGTTTTCAAACTTTTCTGGCCCATGGCGTTACCCCCTTTTTCGTGATATCCAATTGGTAGTTACGATCTTGTCACATCGCTGCAACTCCCCTACCGACTCGGCGAAGGTCGAGAGCCAAGTCGCACTGCTTCTTGACACACTGCTCGCTTAACCCGGAAGCCAGCCGCACCAATGTGTTGGAGGAAACATTCGACCTGACGATCAAATTCAGCTTGCAGAAGCCTGGCCCGCCACAAGGAGTCTCTAGAGCACGATGAGACAAAGACATCCCGGCCGGCCAAACCCTCCCCTAACCTGGACGACGCTGGGCCAATTGTGCGCCGCCTCATGGGTCTCCCGGTCACAGCCAGCTGTGACACAGCCTGGGATCGAACCCAGGGCTGCAGTGGCGCCTTAGCACTCCTTGTTGAATTTGTGATTTCCAACTTGTTGTGTAATGTTTATGTCCAATGGCTGATGAGCACCAATACGTTTTATCTATATTTTATCTTCATATGACAAGGATTGAAAAGGATTTGCCAGTAGATTGTCTACTTGATTCATGATGATGACTGCTAGCTTGCTAGCTAAGATGTTTAACGTATGATGTTGACATGATCAGTCCAATAAAAGCTACTGTAGATATACAGTGGGGGAAAAAAGTATTTAGTCAGCCACCAATTGTGCAAGTTCTCCCACTTAAAAAGATGAGAGAGGCCTGTAATTTTCATCATAGGTACACGTCAACTATGACAGACAAAATGAGAAGAAAAAAATCCAGAAAATCACATTGTAGGATTTTTAATGAATGTATTTGCAAATTATGGTGGAAAATAAGTATTTGGTCAATAACAACATTTTCTCAATACTTTGTTATATACCCTTTGTTGGCAATGACACAGGTCAAACGTTTTCTGTAAGTCTTTACAAGGTTTTCACACACTGCTGCTGGTATTTTGGCCCATTCCTCCATGCAGATCTCCTCTAGAGCAGTGATGTTTTGGGGCTGTCGCTGGGCAACACGGACTTTCAACTCCCTCCAAAGATTTTCTATGGGGTTGACATCTGGAGACTGGCTAGGCCACTCCATGACCTTGAAATGCTTCTTATGAAGCCACTCCTTCGTTGCCCGGGCGGTGTGTTTGGGATCATTATCATGCTGAAAGAGCCAGCCACGTTTCATCTTCAATGCCCTTGCTGATGGAAGGAGGTTTTCACTCAAAATCTCAGGATACATGGCCCCATTCATTCTTTCCTTTACACGGATCAGTCGTACTGGTCCCTTTGCAGAAAAACAGCCCCAAAGCATGATGTTTCCACCCCCATGCTTCACAGTAGGTATGGTGTTCTTTGGATGCAACTCAGCATTCTTTGTCCTCCAAACACGACGAGTTGAGTTTTTACCAAAAAGTTCTATTTTGGTTTCATCTGACCATATGACATTCTCCCAATCCTCTTCTGGATCATCCAAATGCACTCTAGCAAACTTCAGACGGGCCTGGACATGTACTGGCACTGCAGGATTTGAGTCCCTGGCGGCGTAGTGTGTTACTGATGGTAGGCTTTGTTACTTTGGTCCCAGCTCTCTGCAGGTCATTCACTAGGTCCCCCCGTGTGGTTCTGGGATTTTTGCTCACCGTTCTTGTGATCATTTTGACCCCACGGGGTGAGATCTTGCGTGGAGCCCCAGATCGAGGGAGATTATCAGTGGTCTTGTATGTCTTCCATTTCCTAATAATTGCTTCCACAGTTGATTTCTTCAAACCAAGCTGCTTACCTATTGCAGATTCAGTCTTCCCAGCCTGGTGCAGGTCTACAATGTTGTTTCTGGTGTCCTTTGACAGCTCTTTGGTCTTGGCCATAGTGGAGTTTGGAGTGTGACTGTTTGAGGTTGTGGACAGGTGTCTTTTATACTGATAACAAGTTCAAACAGGTGCCATTAATACAGGTAACGAGTGGAGGACAGAGGAGCCTCTTAAAGAAGAAGTTACAGGTCTGTGAGAGCCAGAAATCTTGCTTGTTTGTAGGTGACCAAATACTTATTTTCCACCATAATTTTTTCTCAATTTGTCTGTCATAGTTGACGTGTACCTATGACGAAAATTACAGGCCTCTCTCATCTTTTTAAGTGGGAGAACTTGCACAATTGGTGGCTGACTAAATACTTTTTTCCCCCACTGTAACGTGATTTGACGTCATTTTATCTGTGGCCAATGACCTTGAGCCTTCTTGGGTTGGCACTTCTAATGTAAGTCTATTACAGCACCCAAGGGGCTTGAATTTTTTAGCTCTACCTGTAGATATTGCGGTGACGTAGTGTCCCCATGACTGACAGAACACTGAGCCAATCACGGCGCAACTAGAGAACATTACCAACCCCTACGCTCCATATTTTCCGCTGGCTGCCTCACCACCACAGAAAACACCTGCATTTTGGAGCTGCCTTACTCAAGAAAGCAAAAAAAATACCATGTTTGTATGCGGCTTTAATAACTCAATGATTAATTTTTTACATTGTTTGCAAACTGATATGTGACACGAATTAATGCCAAAATAATAACATGCAAAACAGGCAAAAATAATAATAATAATATATATATATATATATATATATATATATATAGTGAGGGAAAAGTATTTGATCCCCTGCTGATTTTGTACATTTGCCCACTGACATAGAAATGATCAGTCTATAATTTTTATGGTAGGTTTATTTGAACAGTGAGAGACAGAATAACAACAACAAAATCCAGAAAAACGCATGTCAAAAATGTTATAAATTGATTTGCATTTTAATGAGGGAAATAAGTATTTGACCCCCTCTCAATCAGAAAGATTTCTGGCTCCCAGGTGTCTTTAATACAGGTAACGAGCTGAGATTAGGAGCACACTCTTAAAGGGAGTGCTCCTAATCTCAGCTTTTTACCTGTATAAAAGACACCTGTCCACAGAAGCAATCAATCAGATTCCAAACTCTCCACCATGGCCAAGACCAAAGAGCTCCAAGGATGTCAGGGACAAGATTGTAGACCTACACAAGGCTGGAATGGGCTACAAGACCATCGCCAAGCAGCTTGGTGAGAAGGTGACAACAGTTGGTGCGATTATTCGCAAATGGAAGAAACACAAAATAACTGTCAATCTCCCTCGGCCTGGGGCTCCATGCAAGATCTCACCTCGTGGAGTTGCAATGATCATGAGAACGGTGAGGAATCAGCCCAGAACTACACGGGAGGATCTCAATGATCACAAGGCAGCTGGGACCATAGTCACCAAGAAAACAATTGGTAACACACTACGCCGTGAAGGACTGAAATCCTGCAGTGCCCGCAAGGTCCCCCTGCTCAAGAAAGCACATATACAGGCCCATCTGAAGTTTGCCAATGAACATCTGAATGATTCAGAGTAGAACTGGGTGAAAGTGTTGTGGTCAGATGACACCAAAATGGAGCTCTTTGGCATCAACTCAACTCGCTGTGTTTGGAGGAGGAGGAATGCTGCCTATGACGCCAAGAACACCATCCCCACTGTCAAACATGGAGGTGGAAACATTATGCTTTGGGGGTGTTTTTCTGCTAAGGGGACAGGACAAATGCACCGCATCAAAGGGACGATGGACGGGGCCATGTACCGTCAAATCTTGGGTGAGAACCTCCTTCCCTCAGCCAGGGCATTGAAAAATGGGTTGTGGATGGGTATTCCAGCATGACAATGACCCAAAACACACAGCCAAGGCAACAAAGGAGTGGCTCAAGAATAAGCACATTAAGGTCTTGGAGTGGCCTAGCCAGTCTCCAGACCTTAATCCCATAGAAAATCTGTGGAGGGAGCTGAAGGTTCGAGTTGCCAAACGTCAGCCTCAACCTTAATGACTTGGAGAAGATCTGCAAAGAGGAGTGGGACAAAATCCCTCCTGAGATGTGTGCAAACCTGGTGGCCAACTACAAGAAACGTCTGACCTCTGTGATTGCCAACAAGGGTTTTGCCACCAAGTACTAAGTCATGTTTTGCAGAGGGGTCAAATACTTATTTCCCACATTAAAATGCAAATCAATTTATAACATTTTTGACATGCGTTTTTCTGAATGTTTTTGTTGTTATTCTGTCTCTCACTGTTCAAATGAACCTACCATTAAAATTATATACTGATCATGTGTTTGTCAGTGGGCAAACATACAAAATCAGCAGGGGATCAAATACTTTTTTCCCTCACTGTATATATATATATATATATATATATATATATATATATATATATATATATATATACACTACCAGTCAAAAGTTTGAACACACCTACTCATTCCAAGGGTTTTTCTTAATTTTTACTATGTTTTACATTGTAGAATAATAGTGAAGACATCAAAACTATGAAATAACACATATGGAATCACATAGTAACCAAAAAAGTGTTAAACAAATCCAAATATATTTGAGATTCTTCAAATAGCCACCCTTTGCCTTGATGACAGCTTTGCACACTCTGCCTGAATGACGTGTCGCCACTGGTGGTAATCATGGGTTATTTCGGTTCGTTGTGCTGTCCTGTGCACCTCAACAACAGTATAGCATTTTTGTGCCTTTAGGAAGTGAAGAAGACCTCTCTGTGAATGATTTGCAGGAGAAACTCGATACTCATCGCCAACGTGCTGGCGTTTATCGCCGCCGGGTTCATGGGCTTCTCCAAGCTGGCGGCGTCGTGGGAGATGCTGATCATCGGGCGCTTCATCGTGGGGCTCTACTCCGGCCTGTCCACTGGCTTCGTGCCCATGTACGTGGGGGAGATTGCGCCCACCTCGCTCCGCGGGGCGCTGGGCACTCTGCACCAGCTGGGCATCGTCCTTGGCATCCTCATGGCACAGGTAGGCACTGTCCGTCGGGTGACTTTATTTTTTAAAGCTAGTGATACAGCACAATCATCTTGACAAATATGCTCTTTCCACCAACATACAGTGCTCAAGTAACCTCACAACCTTACCACAGTGTATTTCCATGGTAGTTTATCTTTCATTGACGGCATAATTAGTGTCGTTTTTGTTTCTTACAGGTGTTTGGGATCGAGTCGATCATGGGGAACTCCACTCTGTGGCCCTTCCTGCTGGGCTTCACATTCATCCCAGCCGTGCTGCAGTGTATCCTGTTGCCCTTCTGCCCCGAGAGCCCCCGCTTCCTCCTAATCAACCGCAACGAGGAGCTCAAGGCCAGAGAAGGTGAGCCTCCGACCAGCTACTGCTACATCCTTACACCCTATTCCCATGGAAAGCTTTTGTTCCAGCCCTGCTCTAACACACCATTCAACTTATCATGGTCCTGACCAGAAGCTTATTAATAGAATCTGGTGTGTTAGAGTAAGGCAGGAACAAAAGGCTGCACCTCCAGTAGCTCTCCAGGAGGAGGGAATGGAGCTGAGTCCTGAGTTGTGTATTTCCCTGCAGTGTTGGAGAAGCTGCGAGGCACTGAGGAGGTGGGCGCCGACATGCAGGAGATGAAGGAGGAGGCCAGGCAGATGATGAGGGAGAAGAAGGTGACCATCCTGGAGCTGTTCCGCTCGCCACTCTACCGCCAGCCCATCTTCATCGCCATCATGCTCCAGCTCTCCCAGCAGCTGTCTGGCATCAACGCTGTGAGTGTGGGACACTCTGGGAGACACACACTGACATGCAAATACACACACATGCTAACTCATGCACACACACACTTCAAACTATATGATCCACTCAATTATTACCTTTTTGTGCAGGTTTTCTACTACTCCACCAGGATCTTTGAGAAGGCGGGGGTCTCTCAGCCAGTCTACGCTACGATTGGTGCTGGAGTGGTCAATACAGCCTTCACTGTTGTGTCTGTAAGTCTGATAAACACTGTACAACATCCATAAATAGGAGCCCAGTCCCAGTGATCATATGAGCATCTCAACAATGTGTGAAGATTTTATGGTGGGACTGAAATTGATTAAATATGATTATTGTTTCCATTAGAATAGATAAGGAGATATATGTGTTGTCCATCTGACTGTAACAACAGAAATGTGTCTTGGAAATGTATCCACTCCACAAACCCCACTAACACCACCATTCTTCTCCTCTTCCTCTCTCTCTTTATTTAGCTATTCGTTGTGGAGCGTGCTGGGCGACGATCCCTTCACCTCACTGGGTTACTGGGGATGGCATTCTCAGCTGTCCTGATGACAGTAGCCATGGCACTGCTGGTATGTATAATGGCGCAATAAAAAAACATTCAAAAAAATCACTGGATTTGTATATATCATATTTTATGTACATGACTACCTCAGCCAGCTTCCTCCACTGATGTTCCCCCATGTTTTTCCTCAGGACCAGCTGCCGTGGATGTCCTACGTCAGCATCATAGCCATCTTCAGCTTTGTGGCCTTCTTTGAGATCGGCCCGGGCCCCATCCCCTGGTTCATTGTGGCTGAGCTCTTCAGCCAAGGTCCTCGGCCCTCTGCCTTTGCCGTGGCTGGATTCTCCAACTGGTCGGCGAACTTCATAGTGGGCATGACCTTCCAATACGTTGAGGCAAGGAGACAGAAAAAAAACCTCACAGATTTCTGGGTTACTGCCTTGATGGCTCTGTTACATATGTATATTAATTATTATAAACTTTGTAGTTTGGGTCCTGGATGCTGATAGGCTGAAACAGCATTTCAGCTGTGTGTATATCAGACAATATACCACGGGTTTATGTTGGTAACCAGTTTATAATAGCAATAACGCATCTCTGGGGTTTGTGGTATATGACTTAGCGTTGTGCCTAAGAACAGCTCTTAGCGATGGTATATTTAAGCAATAAGGCCCGAGGAGATGTGGTATATGGCCAATATGCCATGGCTAAGGGCTGTTCTTAGGCACTTATGACTTTATGAATTGAAACATTTGAAAATAATGTTACTTTTCTATCTTCTCTGTAGCAACTGTGTGGCCCCTACGTCTTCATCATCTTCACCTTGCTGCTGCTGGGCTTCTTCATCTTCACTTATTTCAAGGTGCCAGAAACCAAGGGACGGTCGTTCGACGAGATCTCCGCCGGCTTCCGCCATGAGGCCGGACAGTCAGGGGAGAAGTATGCGCCTGACGAAATGAACAGCCTTGGGGGAGCCGACTCCCAACTCTAACCTCTCCTGCTCTCTGTGGTAAACAGATGACTGCAGTATGCCTGGGGTTCCAGGAGGGGGCGATGAGAGACTGTGTATTCACCATAGAGATGTATAGAGATCGCAACGTTGTGTCATTATGGCGTCAGTGACAGCATAAGCAGCGCCATTGAGGCTATCTCCATTTTAAAGTTGTACATTTTCCTCTTCTTTTGATGTTTAAAAAAAGTGCTGCAGTGTTGGAGTCTTGAACCAAATATTGTGTCATTCATTTATTGTGGCCACTAGATGGCAGTGATATAGCTTAAAAGCCCTTTACAAACTAGGCAAACCAATTTGAAGAAGAGAATGCTCTGATCATTGGGAGAATCTCAATTGCATACTCCTCGCTTCCTCTCTCCTCGCCTCCTTCTCTAAACCCATTGGAGGAGAAGGTCAGAGGGGAGGGATGCAATTCAGATTCTCCCATTGGCTGATCCCCACCCAGTTGAATACTTTAAAATGGTGGAAGACCTCAATGGCAATGTCCATGCAAAAATTGGTTATTTCCAAGTAGTGATCTCTATACATCTCTATGGTATTGACAGGAAGTAGAGGCTCTCCTTGTGAACCCTTGGGTAATATTGGCAGATATCCATATCAGAGACGGAAGAGAAAGCGAGACAGAGCGGGGGGCTTGGGGGAATAAGTAGACCAGAGCCAGCTGTTATAAAACTGTCTTTATGAGACATCGTCATTATCCACCATCTTTGTCCATATGTTGTCTTGTTGGTTTAAATCCCCATCAGCCTGAAAGGGAAAATAGCTTTTTATCCTCTTTTTGTCTCTTGCTGCAGCTTAAAAGGGCTGACCAGGCTGCTATTAAGATAACAAAGTGAAACATGGATTAAACAATGCTTTCCATTCCACTTATCCAATACTTAATATCACCACAAACTATGCAGTTATTAGTGAGATAAATTCTCAAGTCCAACTGTTCATCCACAATTTACTTCAGGAATCTCTGACAATAAAAACAAAAACACCTGAAAAATCTTATTGACAAAAGGTTAAAACAAGGCACCATATCCCTGACCTAGCCGAGTTATATTTGTTCATATTTGACTTATTTGTGTCTTTGCTCCTCAGTAACAGAAGAGCCATGTGAACAGTCTTGGCTAAAGCATTCTATTTACTCCATGAAAAATTAATTAATTATGAAGCCAACTCTATTCTCTAACTCTATTTCCCTCAATTATTTTGTTTATTAGGTGAAGTGTTATATTATATCTTAATATATGACTCTGGTAGGACCTAATGCTTGTACAGTGCATTCGGAAAGTATTCAGACCCCTTGACTTTATCCACATGTTGTTACGTTACAGACTTATTCTCAAATGGATTAAATATATATTTTTAATGTCTTATCAATCTACCCACAATACCCCATAATGACAAAGTGAAAACAGGTTTTTTGAAATGTTTGCAAATGTATTACAAATTCTAAACAGAAATACCTTATTTACATAAGTATTCAGACCTTTTGCTATGAGACTCGAAATTCAGCTCAGCTGCATCCTGTTTCCACTGATCATCCTTGAGATGCTTCTACAACTTGATTGGAGTCCACCTGTGGTAAATTCAATTGATTTGAAAAGGCACACACCTGTCTATATAAGGTCCCGCAGTTGACAGAGCAAAAACCAAGCCATGATGTCGAAGGAATCGTCCGTAGAGCTCCGAGACAGGATTGTGTCGAGGCACAGATCTGGGGAAGGGTACCAAAACATTTCTGCAGCATTGAACGTCCCCAAGAACACAGTGGCCACCATCATTCTTAAATGAAAGAAGTTTGAAACCACCAAGACTCTTCCTATAGCTGGCCGCCCGGCCAAACTGAGCAATCGGGGGAGAAGGGCCTTGGTCAGGGAGGTGACCAAGAACCCGATGGTCACTCTGACAGAGCTCCAGAGTTCCTTTGTGGAAATGGGAGAACCTTCCAGAAGGACAACCATCTCTGTAGCACTCCACCAATCAGGCCTTTATGGTAGTGGCCAGACGGAAGCCACTCCTCAGTAAAATGCACGACAGCCCGCTTGGAGTTTGCCAAAAGGCACCTAAAGGACTCTCAGACCATGAGAAACAAGATTCTCTGGTCTGATGAAACCAAGATCTAACTTTTTGGCCTGAATGCCAAGCATCACGTCTGGAGGAAACCTGCAACCATTCCTACGGTGAAGGATGGTGGTGGCGGCATCATGCTGTGGGGATGTTTTTCAGCGGCAGGGACTGGGAGACTTGTCAGGATCGAGGGAAAGATGATCGGAGCAAAGTACAGAGAGATCCTTGATGAAAACCTGCTCCAGAGCAGTCAGGACCTTAGACTGGGGTGAATGTTCACATTCCAACTGGACAACAACCCTAAGCACAGAGCCAAGACAAAGCAGGAGTGGCTTCCGGACAAGTCTCTGAATGTCCTTGAGTGGCCCAGCCAGAGCCCGGACTTGAACCTGATCTAACATCTCTGGAGAGACCTGAAAATAGCTGTACAATGACGCTCCCCATCCAACCTGACAGAGCTTGAGAGGATCTGCAGAGAAGAATGGGAGAAACTCCCTAAATACAGGTGTGCCAAGCTTGTAGCATCATACCCAAGAAGACTCGAGGCTGTAATCGCTGCCAAAGGTGCTTCAACAATGTACTGAGTAAAGGGTCTGAATACTTATGTAAATGTAATATTTCAGTTCTTTTTTTTTTACATTTGCAAAAATTTCTAAAAACCTGTTTTTGCTTTGTCATTATGGGGTATTGTGTGTCGATTGATGAGGGAAAAAACAATTTAATCAATTTTAGAATAAGGCTGTAGCGTAACAAAATGTGTAAAAAGTCAAGGGGTCTGAATACTTTACGAATGAACTGTATGTAATAGAATACCAAGACCGTCACAGTAATAATGTCACTTTAATCCCTTTATTTAATGAATTAATTTAAGTTAAAGTTTTACAATAGTATTGATCGTTGCACAGACCCTTACTGTGACTATGTGGGACCTAGTAGTTTCAGCACACCATTCCCTGAAAATAACCTTGCATTTCCTCAACCACTGTCTATTGGCGTAATAATACTGCACATTTGGTTTAAAATGAAATGTCAAACTATACTAGCACCAGTGTTGTAATGGAGGGTAAACTCAGTTTACCCAGCTTTTTTTTTACCGTGGTCGTGTCAAATTGTTGAACTAGATGACATTTTATAATTGTTTAATCTGTTTTTTTCTCTCAACACAATATATTTATATCAAACATTAAAATAGAAACTTTAATATTATATTGCATAATTAGATCATGTCAACTAACCAGGCCTATCAAGTGTATTATTGAACTATATTTATAATATTTCTGTATGTGCCCTTTTATCTGTTTAACAAATTGTAGCTGTTGTTGATCCTCAACGTTACTTTTGGAATATGCAATGCGTTCACCACCCCAATATATAATAATACAAGGGGTGTTCACAGGGTAACCTTTTCAAATGAATTATTGAGCAATACAACCTTTTATTATGGTATTTTCTAACATCTATACACAGAAGACTAAGCTTCACAGGTAATAAGTAGGACAATGATATCAGCAAATGTGAATATATACTTTTACTAGCAAATGTTACATACACTCCACTTGAACCTATGGATTTTAGAGGGTGACTCTGCTTTGTGGCTACAAATGGGGATTTGTAGTGTCCTCTGATTTTCAGAAGTATAGCTACTGTAGTCTGTCAATCATCTGAGACATTTAGGAATGTACTGATTTTATCCTTGTTGTCTTTGATCAATAGAATGTACAATGTTTTCCCTACTTGTTTCAAGCTGTGTGTGTGTCCGTGCATGCATGCATTGCAATTGTGTCCCTCTCTCTTTCTCTGTGTGTGTGTGTGTGCGCGTGCGTGTGCGTTTGTGTGTTCATGTACACACCACAAGTCACTAAATTATGTATAGTGACTTTTCTTTAGTATTGGAAACTTGCTGTAAATAACATAAAATAGAAGTCATTGTAGTTGTATAACCAGAAAAAGAGAAAATCCCATGTAAACTCTAACTTGTCAATTACAGAGTGGGGACATATATCATTTCTAAAACAAATCATTTATTAGTGAGCTGTACAATTTTATTGTATACAAAAAATAAAACGCAAATATGTGTGTAGTGCCAAGGGGGTAGATGTTTTGCTTTCTTTCTTTTTTATGTAAAAACAATGTGCCAAGACTGCTATATTGACCGCTTTTCCCCTTTTTATGAGATATTGTATCATAGCTGGATATTTTTCTCAATAAAAACAAGCTGCACACAGGGAACCACGTTCATGGTTGTGTCTTTTCTGTTATTTTTGTTGTTGGAAGTTACCCAAATAACATCATATAAAATGGTAATTTTGCTGTATAATTTTGCCATATCTTTACCACACCTTGCATAGATTAAGGACGATCCAACTTGTAGTAACCTGGTATATTTATGTTAAGTATTATGTTTACAAATAGATGGCAGTATTGACTCAATATGGAGTTTGCTTTCCACTATTCGTAGCCCTTTAAATGTCTGCCATATAACCGTAGCTTATGCAAGGTGCATTCCTGTAATGTTACTCTATGTTACAATTAAATACTAAAACGTACTTAGGTGTCCGTAGTCATCGATCTAAGTAGCATCCTAAAATACTACACAACTGATTCTGAATTATATTTACTTTGTTTCATTCTCAACTCCTTGCCTGCGCCTGCGGTGAGTAAGAGGATCCATGTTAAAACTATTCAAATCAAATCAAATCAAATTTTATTGGTCACATGCGCCGAATACAACAGGTGCAGACATTACAGTGAAATGCTTACTTACAGCCCTTAACCAACAGTGCATTTATTTTTAACAAAAAAAGTAAAAATAAAACAACAACAAAAAAAGTGTTGAGAAAAAAAAGAGCAGAAGTAAAATAAAATAACAGTAGGGAGGCTATATATACAGGGGGGTACCGTTGCAGAGTCAATATTCGGAC